TTGCTTTTGGCATGAACGGACCTTGTGAACGAATACCATGTTCCCTTTGGAAACTCCTTCATGTAAAAGTTTCCAATCTGCTCCTTCAAATATTCAAACGGCGATTTGACCGCACTAACAATCAGAAAATTAAACAAACGTTCCAAAAATGTACATTTTTAAACAAAATCTGACAAGTGTATGTCCAGCTTAAAGCGGTATTAAACCCCAAAACAAAAATGTAATACAATGCAGTTTACCAATCTTTAGATGCAGCGGTGGCATTAGTTTTCTTTTTTTACGCTGTTCCCACTCTGTTTTCACCTGGTGATCCTGCCACTAGCACACCTCATATATATATATATATTCTGGATGAAGGAGCACAGGGGGCACCTTGGGACAGCAGCATTGTCAGTCTAGGGGGGAATGTTAGTGCTGGTTCATATATTGGTGTGAGTTCTGATTCACACAGAATTGCACGACAGCGGAAATCACATTATTTTCAATGGTGCTCATTCGCAATCAATGCGACTCAGTTGCAGTACGATTTTGGAAACGGTCCCTGAACTTACTTTGGTGCTTTGCCTCCATAGAATACGCCAACCACATCCAAAGTCGCACTACATAATTGCACTGAAAATCGCATCAAAAGCTCATTGCAATAGCAAAAACTGAGCCTCAGATGTACTAGCAGATTTAGATACACTAACAAACGGAAGCCTCTGATTCCTCCTGTATTCAGTCGTAACTGTACTGTTTACACGCACATTGTAAAGCACTGCGCAAACTGTTGGCGCTATATAAATCCTGTATAATAATAATAGGCCAAACTCCAGCTCATTCTGCAGATACAGAAACAGTTTTTTTCCTTTTGTAATAAGAGTTCATAGAAATAAATGCTGATCATAGTAAGCACCCGTCAGTGTTTGTCTTGACACTTTAAACATACATACATCTGTGGGAGAACTTGTTTCTGTTAATAAAACAACAGATTTACTGGCTGGATCACAAGATAAAAATAGAAAAAAAACGAATTGGTAAACTGCAGTATAATGTTTACTTTTGGGGTTAATACTGCTACCTGTCCAATACAGATTCCCTGTGAAAGGACTGGGGAGCCCCAATTGTCATCTCCCCAGATTCCTGAGAGTAAAGTGAGCCTGTTTTCAGATCTCCAGGTCTCCTGATGGACTAGTGGGGTCAGAGATGTCCCAGCATAACCACTACAGCTCCCAGATTTCCTCCATCATCATTCCCTTCCATCTCTGCGACTACGATCTCCAGTAAAGTATATGAACAGCTGTAGTAGTCAGCTCATCATTACAAGCTGTCCCTGTGTATACAGATCAGGCACCTAGCAGGCAGTATATAGGGAAGATCAGAGACTCCCAGCACAGGTCTTCCTATAAAGGTGGAAGCAAACAGAGCGGTAAGAGAGTTGATGGCTCACCCCTGGATCATCGTGTCTGCTGAGCGGAGCGGAGAGGACGAGCACACTGCACTGTGCGCGAGGCTGAGCGGAGTGACAGGACTGCTGGGGGGCGGGGCCATGGCCTGGGAGGGGCGGGGCCATGGCGGCTTTCATTCCATGTGCGGCGAGGTGGAGTCCTGTACACTGTGATCGCACGGCCAATGATGGGATAGGAGGAATGGATCGCACTCCGCATACACCCTGTGTACTCCGTACTGTTCCATGCCACACACTGCACAATGCCAATCCCACACACTGCACAATCCCACACACTGCACAATGCCCTAATCCCACACACTGCACAATCCCACACACTGCACAATCCAAATCCACACACGCACAATGCACAATCCCACACACTGCACAATCCAAACAAACTGCACAATCCCATACACTGCACAATCCCATACACTGCACAATCCCAATACCACACGCTGCACAATCCCATACACTGCACAATCCAAATCCCACATGCTGCACAATCCCAATCCCACACACTGCACAATCCATACACTGCACAATCCCAATCCCACACACTGCACAATCCCACACACTGCACAATCACAATCCCCACATGCTGCACAATCCCACACACGGCACAATCCCCATCTCATACACTGCACAATCCCAATCCCACACGCTGCACAATCCCACACACTGCACAATCCCAATGCTGCACAATCCCACACACTGCACAATCCCAATCCCCACACAATCCCATACACTGCACAATCCCACAATCCCAATCCCACACACTGCACAATCCCAATCCCACACAATCCCACACTACACTGCAAATCCCATACACCAATCCCACACACTGCACAATCCCAATCCCACATCCCACTGCACAATCCTCAATCCCACATACTGGACAATCCCACACACTGCACACAATCCCACACACTGCACAATCCCCACATCCCACGTATTGGACAATCCCACACACTGCACACTCCAAATCCCATACACTGCACAATCCCACACAGTGCACAATCCCAAATCCACATATACTGGACAATCCCACACACTGCACAATCCAAATCCCACATACTGGACAATCCCACACACTGCACAATCCAAATCCCACATACACTGGACAATCCCACACACTGCACACTGCACAATCCCACACGCTGCACAATCAATCCCACACACTGCACAATCCCACACTGCACAATCCCAATCCCACACACGCTGCACAATCCCAATCCACACACACTGCACAATCAATCCCACACACTGCACAATCACAATCCCACACGCTGCACAATCATACACACGGCACAATCCCACACAGTGCACAATCCCAAATACCACACATACTGGACAATCCCACACACTGCACAATCCCACACACTGCACAATCCAAATCCCACACGCTGCACAATCCCATACACTGCACAATCTCATACATTGCACAATCCCACATGCTGCACAATCCCAATCCCACACACTGCACAATCCATACACTGCACAATCCCAATCACACACGCTGCACACAAATCCCAATCCCACACACTGCACAATCCCACACACTGCCCAATCACAATCCCACACGCTGCACAATCCCACACACGGCACAATCCCCATCTCATACACTGCACAATCCCAATCCCACATGCTGCACAATCCCACACACTGCACAATCCCATATGCTGCACAATCCCACACACTGCACAATCCCAATCCCACACAATCCCATACACTGCACAATCCCAATCCCACACACTGCACAATCCCATACACTGCACAATCCCACACACTGCACAATCTCAATCCCACATACTGGACAATCCCACACACTGCACAATCCCAATCCCACGTATTGGACAATCCCACACACTGCACACTCCAAATCCCATACACTGCACAATCCCAATACCACATACTGGACAATCCCACACACTGCACAATGCAAATCTTACATACTGGAAAATCCCACACACTGCACAATCCCACACACTGCACAATCCAAATCCCACATACTGGACAATCCCACACACTGCACAATCCAAATCCCACATGCTGCACAATCCCATACACTGCACAATCCCAATCCCACGTACTGGACACTCCCACGCACTGGACAATCCCACACACTGCACAATCCAAATCCCACACACTGCACAATCCCACAAATTGCACAATCCCATACACTGTGCAATCCCACACAGTGCACAATCCCAATACCACATACTGGACAATCCCACACACTGCACAATCCAAATCCCACACACTGCACAATCCCACACAGTGCACAATCCAAATCCCACATACTGGACAATCCCACACACTGCACAATCCAAATCCCACACGCTGCACAATCCCATACACTGCATAATCTCACAAACTGCACAATCCCAATCCCACATACTGGACAATCCCACACAATGGTTATTAGACTGTAATAAACCCCACAACAATGACATAAAATGCAGTTTACCAGTCCTTACGTATGCTGGCTACACATAGAAGGAATTTTCTTCTTTTTTTGGGGGGGGGGGGGGGGGGGGGTATTTCCTCCTGATGGTCCTGCCATTCAGTGATTTTAGTTCACACACTATAGAAACGCAGTACGGATGCGTTTCTGCGTGCTCGTTTTTGACACATTCCACTTTCCGGTTCATGTTTTTTTCCCTCTCTTTTTCTTAAACCTGGATTCACACTGATGTGCTGCAGAACTCGCACCGGTTTCTGTACAAATTCTGCACTGCATCATAATCGCACCTCCTTCATACGGACCGCTGCGGCTGTGTACTTTAAGTTAACGACAGCCCAAAATCAGTTCACAAAACACGATGCAATGTGCAGAATCAGATCGCATGGGTCTGAACACCCATGCAATCCGATTCTGGTGCGGACTAAAAAAGGGTCCTGTACTTTTTTGGTGCAGATGGGGTGCGATTTGAGTCATACAAAATGTATTGCTCAAATTGCACCGCACAGAAATCACATGTGATTTGCACAGGAATGCAGAGCGGTTCCTGTGCGAATCACATGCGATGTTCCGCACAGCATCAATGTGAACCCCGGTAGCCAGTTCACAGTACATGAGTTTTGAGGGCCAGTTCACACTACAAAAATGCACTCCAGATACGTTTTTGCTTACAGTTCACACCACATGCATTTCCAGTGCAGTTGTGATGCAGTTTGCCATGTTCCAGTATGGTTCTGTGCAGAAAAAATGCAGCATGTTCTACTTTTTTTTTTTGCACCGGAGACTGGAACTGACCGCACTGGTATGAACCAGGGCCATTGAAATACACGGAAAATACTGTGCATGTATTTTTGATGCAGAAAAAAAAAGCGCACTGAGCTGCATCTAGTGTGAATTAGCCCTTTTTTTTCTGCATTCAAAATGCAAAGAAAGTAGTTTATATGGTTGTCAATGTCATAGTTCACATCAGTGCTTGCAGTTTCAGTGCGTTCCGGTTGCAGAGAAAAAAAAAAGAACTGACTTAATTTTTCCTGCACAGAACTGTACTGGAAAGCGGTAAAACGCATCCAAAACACGCCAAAAACACACTGGAATGCACATGTCCCTTATTGAATTGAAGAAAGGGGGGGAATGAACCGGAAAGCATGAAAAACGCATCAGAACGCACCAAAAACACACATGCAGAAACGCATCCGGAACACATCTGGACTGCGTTTCTATAGTGTGAACCAGCTGTCAATTTAAATAGGCTGCATGCAGCATGTGTACTTGTAGTACGAAACGCGTAAAGGAGGAGCCCTTGCTAGCCGTGACGTCAAGCCGCCGGATCACGGAGGTCCGGCAGCCACCTCATTTAACCAGCTGGTCAGTGTTTTATACATGCAATTGTCTTTTTATTGCTTCAACTATTTTACCATATAGTGTACGTGTTTGGTTTACATTTTTTTTTACATTTAATACCATTAAATACTACACTATGGAAGTACCCCTTTTCTTTGCTCTGCACCGAGCATTTTAACTTCCCAGAATTCCCCGGAGAGCATCCCAGAGCCTGGAAGAGGTTGATTCATTTACCCTGGCTGTATCCTGTAACTCAAGGAAGGCCATCTACTCCCAGGCTGCATCCTGGACCATCCTAAGAAGGGATCCCTGACTGCTATCGACAGTATATGATACAATGCGCTATACCTAAGCGCTTCTGGTGAGTGCACATTTCTTACATTCATTAGCACACCCACCTGAGGATTCATTCACTGGGATTGTACTTCATCACCTGGAGATTATCCTGAATATAATTGGGAAGATTTTACAGAAATTTTAATGACAATTTATGTTTCAAAACGTATCAGAGGTGCATGTGCGTTTTCATGTAAGGGATCATATTCCCATGTGTTTCTTAGGCATTTTAAGACAATTACTTATCATTTTATTGCTTGATTTGAATGCTTATACTGTTTTTTTTTAGAGCTGTACTTTTTATTTTGAGATTTTATTGAAGGCTTATGGTGTACCTTTAGTGTTTTCAGTTGCTTATGTAAATATATCTTTATAGCGCTCGCTACATTTTTTACTATTTTATAGCAAAACAGTGCGTTTGCCTGCACTGGATCAAATAGTATCATGCACTCCGGTTGCAGTACTTTTTTAAAAGTAGTGAATGCGCTACTTTTGGTGTGATGGAGTGCGATTTCAGCCTATTCCAATGAATGGGATAAAAATGCAAGCGCATTCCTGTGCGATTCCTGATGTGGCCGGCCCTTAAGGGCTGGTTTACACCATAAAAATGCAGTCCAGATGTGTTCCAGATGCATTTCTGTATATTCATTTTTGATGCGTTCCAGTGTGTTTTTAATGTGTCATTTTTCACTCTCTTTTTCTTCAATTTAAATAAGGACATATACATTCCAGTGCGTTTTTGGAGCGTTCCAGTGCGTTTTGATGTGTTTTACTGTGTTCCAGTACAGTTCAGTGTAGAAAAAATGCAGCATGTTCTACTTTTTTTTTTTCCTGGAAATGGAGCACACTGGAACTGACTACACTGTTGTGAACTATGCCATTGGAAACCATGTAATCTATTACCATGCATTTTTTAGTGCTGAAAAAAAATGTACTGGACTGCATGTGGTGTGCCGCTGCGGATCCACACAAAAATCTGTGCAACCGCACCATTCGCACAGAGGAATGTGGACCCGCCGGTGGGTGCCATTAATTTTAATGGCACACCATCTGCACTGGAAATTGCAACCATACTGGGAACAGAAGTTCACGTGCGGGCTGCGTTTTCCGAAGAAGTTCAGGGACTTCTTCGCTGCGTGTTCCGGGGCATTCATGCAAATGAATGGGCTCTCGTGCCCATGCAAAACGCGGCCTGCAGGAACGCGGAGATGTGAACCTAGCCTTCAGGAGAAATTTGGGGTTTATAACAAAAAAAACATTCATACATACCTCTATATTGCAGCTGTCCCACACGGTCTCTAAAGGCCCATATACATGATAAGATAATCGAATGACAATTCCCATAAGACAACCGATAGAACGATTATTTTAGCATACTGCTTTCAACAGGCAATTCTGACTTTTCAGATAACAAAACTAGAGGATGCAAGCTAGAAAAGTTTTAGGCTGCTTTCACACTGAGGAGTTTCTGAAGCACTTTTACATTAAAAAAAAGTGCAAGAAAAGCTGAAGAAAAAAGCTTCCCTAGGTATGTCTATGGATGTCTTCACACTGGTCCATTACACTTCCGTTGCGGTGTGAAAAATCCTGCTTGCTGCATTTTTGGGGCATACTTGGTTAGTTAAAAAAAAAAAAAAAGCACCAGAACTGTACCACTCAATTGAAATGCATAGCAAATTTGTCAAAAACACATAATAATGGGCAGCACAGTGGCTAAATGGTTAGAACTTCCACCTGGCAGTATAGGGTCACTGGATCAAATCCCAACCACAGCACCACCTGTCTGGAGTTTGTATGTTCTCCCTGTGCCTGCGTGGGATTCTTCCCACACTAAAAAGACATGCTGGTAGGTTAATTGGCTCCTATCTAAATTGTCCCTAGTATATGTATAAATGTGAGTTAGGGACCTTAGATTGTACGCCCCTTGAGGGTTAGGGACTGATGTGAATGTACAATATATATGTAAAGTGCTGCGTAAATTGATGGCACTATAGAAATACCTGAAATAAATAAATAATAAAACGTACTTGTGTTGCATTTTCGACGTCGTTTTTGAGTCATGTCCTGTGAAAAACGCTAAAGTGGTAAAATCAATGCAAAAATGCACATGTGTTTTTACCATGTTTTTGCTATAGTGCCCTTATTGTATCTGAACACAACGTCTGATTTTCGTTTATTGTGTACAGCAATTGTACGGAAATAGTCAAATAAAAAGAGATCTGCACATGATCAGGAGCATAGAACAACCCCATACATCCTCTTCTGCTACGCTAGTATAGCTATGTTTGTCTTGGTCGGCCAAGAATTTTCTTACCAAGTCAATACCATTCCAACCACATCATGATATGCACTTTTGTGGAAAATCGAACGATCGGTCAAACGATTTTCTCATAGTGTGTACTAGGCTCAGCCCTCAGAGTGAGTAAGCAGATGACTGTTGATTGCTCAGTTCTCGGTTTGCTCAGAGTGGTGACCATCAGTCACCGCTCTCCACTCTGCTCCTCCAGAGCTCGCTGGGGCAGCAAGCAGCAGAGGAGTTGGGAGGCACTGGCTAAAGCTGTCAGCTGTCAATCAGGCAGCTGGGTGGATCCACACAATATGACCGGGATCATTCCAGAGCATGTAATGTCACAACAGCTGACAGCAGACAATAGCCCGCTATCAGCTGACTCTGGGTCATAGGAGAGCAAATGTAAAGCTGGTCATACCTTCATACCTGGGACAGTAACTATTTCTAGTATGTTGGCCTGCTAGAGCGCTGTCCCGGGTTTTATCCCGGAGTTGTGCTTGAAGGCAGCTGTACTGTCATTGCTTCTAAATATATACACCGCCAGCATTGTGTGTATTTAGAAGCTCGGAATCTCCTTTCTGTCGGCTACATTCTCGCGCTTTGCCTTCCTTCACTCTGATCCTCCTTCCCCAATCACCAGCGCAGAAAGAACCAAGAGCAGAGTTACTGCCGGCCATCCGCTGCTGATTGCAGGGCGGTCAGCTGAGCCCATGTTCTAAAGTCTGCGGAGGAAAGCTGGCAGCAGTCTGTCAGGAGAGAAAAGTGTAAACTGAGCACATAAACTAACAAATACAGAAAAACAACCCTCAGTTAGTCCTGGTTCACATCTGTGTAGACCGCGATTTGAGCGTGCACAAAAGCCCATTTATTTGAATGGACTTCAGTGCCCCAGGACACGCAGGGATGAAGTCCCTGCACTACTTGGGAAATCGCAGCCCACGCGGGAACCGAGGTTCCCAGTGCGGTAGCGATTTGCAGTACGTGCCATTGGCGTGCGGGTCCTACATTCCCATGTAGAACTAATTTGTGCACCGCATTCGTCTGTGGGTGGAGCCTACATTCCTCTGTGTGGGTGGTATGTGGGTATTTGGTCCCACAGCTGCGATGGTATTTGTGTGGGTCCCGCATTCCTCTATGTGGGTGGTGCAGCTGCAGGTATTTGTGTGGGTCCCGCATTCCTCTGTGTGGGTGGTGCGGCTGCAGGTATTTGTGTGGGTCCCGCATTCCTCTATGTGTCTGGTGGTGGTGCAGCTGCAGGTAGGTATTCGTCTGTGTGGGTGGTGCAGCTGCAGGGGTCGGGTCCCGCATTCCTCCTCTGTGGGGTGGCTTGGTGGCAGGTATTTGTTTGGGTCCCGCATTCGTCTGTGTGGGTGGTGCAGTTGCAGGTATTTGTGTGGGTGCATTCCTCTGTGTGGGTGGCTCCGCATTTGTGTGGGTTGCATTCGTCTGTGTGTGTGGTGCAGCTGCAGGTATTTGTGTGGGTCCCGCTGTGTGGGTGGTGCAGCTGCAGGTATTTGTGTGGGTCCCGCATTCCTCTGTGTGGGTGCTCGGCTGCAGGTATTTGTGTGGGTACCGCATTCGTCTGTGTGTGTGGTGCGGCTGCAGGTATTTGTGTGGGTCCCGCATTCGTCCCTGTGTGGGTGGTGCATTTGTGTGGGTCCCGCATTCCTCTATGTGGGTGGGGTGGTGCAGGTATTTGGGCGGGTCCCGCATTTCTCAGTTTGGGTGGTGCGGCTGGTATTTGTGTGGGTCCCGCATCCTCTGTGTGGGTGGTGCGGCTGTATTTGTGCGGGTGGCATTTCTCTGTGTGGGTGGAGCAGTTGCAGGTATTTGTGCGGGTCCTGCATTACGGTGTGGGTGTGCAGCTGCAAATATTTTGCATGTCCTGCATTCCTCAGTGTGGGTGGTGCGGCTGCAGGTATTTGTGTGGGTCCCGCATTCGTCTGTGTGGGTGGAGCGGTTGCAGGTATTTGTGCGGGTCCTGCATTCCTCGGTGTGGGTGGTGCAGCTGCAAGTATTTGTGCGGGTCCTGCAGCGGCACCACCCACACAGATGTGAAGCAAGCCTTAAACAGAGCGAAGCTGTTTGCATAGAAGAACAATTGTATGAAATGTTGAATATTTAGAAAACAATGTGTGCTTATTGAGATTTGTCATTTTGTAACTGCTCACAGTTAGGCTTGGCTCACAAATACAGGTGCAACCAAGCGCAAGCGTGTTTTTCATGAGTCATGTGTAGGGAAGCCCATTCATTACAATGAGCTGCCCTATGCATGAGCAACAGAGAAAAGAAGCCACTGAAACTACACATTCCTCCATTTATTGACCAGCATCCTCCACACTGCTTCCCTACACATATGGCTTGCTTTCATACTCTCCACACCCCTCTCCTGTACATACTGATCACTGTCATAGCTTCCACGCTGCTCTCCTGTACATACTGATCACTGTCATACCCTCCCACCCCTCTCCTGTCATACCCACTGTCATACCCTCCATACTCCTCTCCTGTACATACTGATCACTGTCATACCCTCCACACTCCTCTCCTGTACATACTGATCACTGTCATACCCTCCACACCCCCTCTGCTGTACCTACTGATCACTGTCATACCCTCCACACCCCTCTCCTGTACCTACTGATCACTGTCATACCCTCCACACCCCTCTCCTGTACATACTGATCACTGTCATACCCTCCACACCCCTCTCCTGTACATACTGATCACTGTCATACCCTCCACACCCTCTCCTGTACCTACTGATCACTGTCATACCCCCCCCACCCCTCTCCTGTACCTACTGATCACTGTCATACCCTCCCACCCCTCTCCTGTACTCCTGTACATACTGCCCACTGTCATACCCTCCACACCCCTCTCCTGTGCTTACCGATCACTGTCATACCTCCACACCCCTCTGATGTGCATATCGATCACTGTCATACCCTCCACATCCCTCTCCTATGCATACTGATAACTGTCATACCCTCCACACCCCTCTCCTGTACATACTGCCACTGTCATACCCTCCACACCCCCTACTCCTGTACCCTCCACACCCCTCTCATGTACAATGCCCTCTGTCATACCCTCCACACCCCTCTCTGTACATACTGCCCATTGTCTTACCCTCCCACCCCTCTCCTGTACATACTGCCCACTGTCTTACCCTCCCACCCCTCTCCTGTACATACTGCCCACTGTCTTGCCCTCCACACCCCTCTCCTGTACATACTGCCACTGTCATACCCTCCACACCCCTCTCCTGTACATACTGCTCACTGTCATACCCTCCCACACCCCTCTCCTGTACATACTGCCACTGTCATACCCTCCACACCCCTCTCCTGTACATACTGCCCACTGTCATACCCTCCACACCCCTCTCCTGTGCATACTGATAACTGTCATACCCTCCACACCCCTCTGATGTGCATATCGATCACTGTCATACTCTCCACATCCCTCTCCTGAATATACTGCCACTGTCATACCCTCCACAATCCTCTCCTGTACAAACTGCCTTCTGTCATACCCTCCACACCCCTCTCCTGTACATATTGATCACTGTCATACCCTCCCACCCCTCTCCTGTACATACTGCCACTGTCACACTCTCCACACTCCTCTCCTGTACATACTGCCCACTGTCATACCCTCCACACCCCTCTCCTGTACATACTGTCCTCTGTGATACCCTCCACACTCCTCTCCTGTACATACTGCACACTGTCATACCCTCCACACCCCTCTCCTGTACATACTGCCCTCCGTCATACCTTCCACACCCCTCTCCTGTACATACTGCCCACCGTCATACCCTCCACACCCCTCTCATGTACATACTGCCCACTGTCTTACCCCCTCCACACCCCTCTCCTGTACATCACTGTCATACTGCCACTGTCATACCCTCCACACCCCTCTCCT